GTCGATTGAAGTTACTCCATCATTTTGTATTGAGTAGTTATATGTCGAATTGATGTAGACCAACTCTCCCTAAAACAAAACTCAATTTTATTCGAGCTCATTACCTGTAATAAAAGTTTATTAACATATACTATGTATTTTTATTAATCTTAAATTTTTTCTAAAAGTATTGGTGGCCACTTGTTTTGGTGCACGTGTTACACTAAATTCATTTTGATTTTGTTCTTTCTCTACGGATCACCGTCACCAACGAGAGAAACAAAAATGCAGCGCAAATTTATCCTCCACCATTCCCGAGTTTCAATCTCTATTGCCAAAGAAGAATCCAATTCTACTTCCGGTCTTGCAGGCTTTGCTTATTTACTTTGTAGTTGAACTTCTTTGTTTCGATTAAGTAAGTTGTTATCTTCTACTATGTGTCTCAAGTGGTTTGGGCTTGGATATTTAATTCTTGCGTTCGATTGTAGCAAGTGTGATTTGATCGATGCCTGCCAGATGTTTTGTCAATGTGTATTTAACCGTTGTTTTTTTGTTTATTTAGCTTCTACTTGTTGTTGTTGTGATGGCGGTGGTTGTTTTAACTTGAAGTAGGGAGGCGATGGCGCACCGCCACGCTCTTTTCTTCTATTTTTAGCCATAATTTTTAATGATTAGATTTGGAATTAGAGTGCAATATTCGTAACAGAATGCAGCTGTTCGCAGATAAAGATCTTACTAACTTGAGTTATTGGTTGAATTGGAGAGTGCTGCTTTGTGTAGTATGGGTCCAGCTTATTTGAAAATATGAACATTCAGAATATGTACTAGGTATGTTATATGTTTTATACAATGTAAGAGATGTTACTAAAAGACGACACAATTGGTGTAAGCTTTGATTGCACACATAAATCCATGCCTTTACTTTTGTTTTATATATAGACATTTGTTTTTTTCAATTGTTAGTTGATCATCATTGGCCAAGAAAGACCCTATTTTGCTATGAATATATGATTCGTAATTGTAACATTGTAGATAAGCTCTATCATTGTAACATATATGATCATCTCGGTAACACTATCATGATGAATTCATCTATGGTTATTGACAACAAGTGAATATTTTGAATAAAAAATGGTCGGTTTCCCAAGCACAGGTTACCAGGGCATATGTACACTTTATAGAAACATATGACACTATTATTATAAGTTTGTAAGATCTGCGTTAGTGTATGTCGGTATTTGATGTAGGTATGTAAGTAGGTGCCCTGGGTACAAACACCGACATTCAAGGTATAAATGATGGTTGCTTAGGTATTATTTGTGTAGTAGTAGATATCCAGTGTGGTCGATTTCAGTCAATCCCCTGATAGAGAAAACAATTACCAGATTAGTGATTTTCTCTATTAGCCCCACTGGAAATTGGTTAAAGCCAGGCGCGATTGTTGTAGAGGTGTAATTTTATATTTTTATAGGATGTTCGTCAATCCTTTCATTGTAATTATTTTTTATGTGCTAGACATAATGCAATATTGTATGTAAATATACAACAATAAGAGTGTTGCATTGATGCTATTTTGTAAATTTGATGTAATGTGGTAGATGAATGAGAATTATGGGTATGTGATGAGCTCTTTTATATATGACTCGTTGATGATAGAGGTTTCTTAAAATGTAACGCATGTACACAAATTGTGGGTAAGTATTTTGTTTATTTTGAAGAATATATAGTTGATGTCACGAAACACATGGGTCTTTACCGTATTACCCATTTTAAAATTATAGTAAATTTATGTTAATTAATTTTCTAAATGACAAAAAGTAGGTAGTATATTGTGTTGCATTCGTTAGACCCATACTAAAAAGGTTATGAATTCTTGTTCTAATCATCGAGCTCACTTTATGTCCTTGAGTACATTGAAACGAGTATTCATTTAAAGTATGCAGGTACACAATTGCCCACCTATGTCATAATGTTATATTATTTATTTTACATGAAATCAGAGTCCGGGTACATAATTTGATAAGAATTGATACATTAAAATCAATAGGGGGTACATCGGAGCCATACTGAAGTACTTACATGCTCAACCAAGTTATATTTTGAAATTTTTTTGGCTAATTGATATTGAGTTTATAAGTGTGCAGTAGTTTGGATTATTATGTCATGGGTCAAAATATTATAGACAAGATGTGTTTGCCCTATTACGCAAAAAACACTTGAAGTTCTAATAGTAGATTACAACTAGCGTTTTCACTTGAATGTTGTGTGTGTGCTATGGTGTAGATTACTATGTAATAAGTCTAAAGATTTTCAATTCGTGACAGCAATCATGTATTCTAACAAATAATATAATTTAACTTAGTCATTTATAACTTGTTTAGCCATCTACAAGTGGAGGTTAGAGTATAATTCCACATATATCATACGATATTATTAAGTCATTTTTTACTTGTTTAGACATCTATAGTAAATATGTTGTTTATCTCTTTATATAATTTAGGGTGTTATGGAAATACTATCACGATGAATTTATCCCTAATTACCGACAATAAGTGAATATTTTGAACTGAAAATGGTCGGTTACCTAAGCACAAGTTACCAAGATATATATACCTGATATTGAAGCATGTGATACCAACATTATCGGTACGTAAGATCTGAGCTAGGGCATATCGGTATTTGATGCAGGTATGCTAGTATGTGCTCTAGGTACAAACACCGACATTCAAGGTATAAATAATGGTTGCTTAGGTATTATCTATGTAGTAGCAAGTTTCCATGAATGTGCTTGACTGCAGTTGATCTTCTTATGGAGGGGCCAATTCAAGAACTCGGTGTGAGTACTTCTTCTGTACATAGTAGTATAATAATATAGAGTAAACTGTATTTTTAGTCCCGTAACTGGACCCCCTTATCATTTTATTCCCGTAAATGGAGCCTGTCGCAAACTAGTCCCACAAGTGAAATTTTTTTGCTGTTTTAGTCCTTCAGCGCTAGAGACGTCCGCGTGGCTCACCGGAGCTTGTCGAACATTATGATGCGAACTCCTCCTTTTCCTTTTCCTTTTCTGATGTTCATCTTTCGAGGCCATTTCTTCAGGCTTGTAAAGCTTTGGGTTATACTACACCCACTCCTATTCAGGTTTATTGTAATCATAATCATAAAATCTCTATCTATTGCTACTACTACTGCTAGTAAGGTGTGAATCGATTCTCTCTTCTCTATATATATGCAATTTGTTTTTGGATTTGACAGGCTGCTTTTATACCATTGGGATTAACTGGACAATATATATGTGCTAGTGCTGCCACCGGCTCGGGGAAGGTATTTGTGTGTTTATACTTGTGAGAACAGAACAAGCTCTGTAGTGAAAGGTCATAAAGGGGAAATAATATGTTACTTTATTCACAATAAGAGTAAAGACAAATGAACAGAGCATAGATTATTATTATTATTATTATTATTATTATTATTATTATTATCATTATCAAGGATTTTATAGATATAAAATATAGAGATATATACAAATACGCCGGACATCCCTGGCGAATAAAAAAAACTAACCAAAAATGAGGTACTACCTCAATTGTAGCCACACGTGTCCACTAACCGAATAAATAATTACAATCCAACCCAACATAAACTAATAATTACAATGAAAATATTCTGAAGTAATCTAGTGCAGAGGGATTATGGATCTGGTCCTCTCCTTCTCGCCACAAAGGTGCTTGCCATTAGGAAATTTCGATAATAACACAATCCTTGTATATAACACAAAGGGGATCAATGTCGAGGAATGACAATCGATTTTTAGTTTTCAATCGACCCCGGACGGCAAGCCATAGAATGAACTTGTGCTTTGGCAGCGCTGATCCATTCCAGATAGAACTAGCGTAGTCACAAGAAGGGCCTGGAATCTTAAAGCAGTAGTATACATCCATGGAGTTTTTAGTAGGGAAGTACCAGTGCGAAATACCAGCTTGTGCGCGGCTAACATCCCCGAAATGAGACAAAATCTTATCGCGAATCAGCAACAGAGATTTGAGAAAGTAAGAATCCCGAGCTTGTCGAGTCCAAATATTGCGCCCCTGGAAGTATTTGTTGTGCATCCACTTTACCCACATAGACTCCTTATCGGAGGAAAGTCGCCAAATATATTTAGTGAGGAGAGTTTCGTTCCATTCCGGGAGAAAGCGAAGGCCAAGCCCACCTTCGGCTTTAGGTGAGCACTTAACATGATATGGTTAGAACTTGTAGTTATTATTCTTATTGCTATTATTAACACTTAACATGATATGCTTCTAACTTCTGGTTATTATTATAATGATAATGATGGATATGGTATGCTTCAATTTTTTATTAATTCTCTTCCTTTTAAGCACTACACTGTTGTTTATAATTGGCAGACGAATGCTTTTGTACTTCCAATATTGTAGAGATTGTTATACAAGCCAAAATATAGACCTGCTATTAGGGTTTTTATTCTTACCCCTGCGAGAGAGTTAGCTATTCAATAAGTTTTGTATTTTAATAAAATAAAGCATGAGATATTTGTAGTATTTACTAATTTACTAATTTTCTTCTATATGATACATAATATGACTACAAAACTCACTAAATATGTGACTGGTATTACATGTTGTTTGGTGATTGGCGGGCTGCCAATGAAGGTATGCTCATAAACTTATTTATTTGTAGTCCTTAAATATTTATCTGATTATCTTGTTTCATCCCCTTCTAATTACTATTAAAACTTCTTGCTATTTGGAGGTACAATAATTTGCATGTGTACTAATTTTCTAGATTGAAGGATGCAAAAAAGATAGCACAAGTTAGATTATGTGCAAGGATGTTGAAATTATTGGCTCTTTTAAATAATCATAGAAACTTAATTGAGGCTCAGCGTCTAGATGTTAGTTCACTCAACATTGTTTATTATTATTATAATAATAATTATTATTATTTAGAAGTCTTATGCACAATTTATTGGATAGGAATTTGAGCTTTTCAAAAAGCAGAAAGTGGATTTTCTAATTACAACAGATCTTGCTGCACGAGTAAGTTTAGTTTTTTCATTTTGAGTGCGGTATGCTAACCATCCTCTAGCATGGTCAATATACACGTTAAAGCAATACATAAAATTGTATTGAACGCAAGTTGTATATAGAGATCGATTGAAAGATGTTAATAGTGAACTACTCACAGACCCTTATAATTTGTGTTGCTTCTCAATTTTTATATGATGTATTTTTGCGGTTCAACTTAGTAAAATCTTTGTTTAGTATTGATTGAAGGACCTCTGGCGGTTCTATCTTCTTGTAATTTTTATTTCAGGGTCTGGATATATCAAGTGTTGAAACAGTCATCAATTTTGTGTGCCCACAAAATATTGAAAGGTAAAACATGAACGCTAATCCCTTCTGATTTGTCAGAATTTTATTGTACAAGTGTCTTGCCTAATTATTAATGTTTACCACATTTGTTCTTGATACAATAATTGTTCAGTAGTATTCCTGAAATTATTCACGAAAAAATTATTTTGTGATATAATATGCTTTGCAGTTATATTCATAGAGTGGGTCGCACCGCTAGAGCAGGGAGAAAAGGGCGTCCAGCTACAAAAAAATCAATAAATTTGTAAGTATATATCCTTTATTATTAAAATATTTAGTTTTGTTTTATTTTGCAATATTATTGTTGTTTTATCATTTGATTGAGGACTTATTTGGGTTTCAACTGCATTTCCTTTTTCCTAAAATATTTTTGTACTCAGTAGTACTATGCAACCGGTGAAGTACCACATGTTAAATCTATTTGAGATGACTATTTTGTTCTCATTTGTCAACATGCAGTTTTAGTAAGCTAAAATTCTCAAGAGGTCACCCATCTTCTTAACTCTGGAGTTTTATCAATTGGGCTACGGAATAGATATGCATATTGTTGATATGAATAATGTTCGTAATCTTTGATGTGTATTAAGTGGAATCTTGTTACTTATATCTTGGAAGAATATGGCAGGTTAAAAGTGTTTGCTTTGGAAGGGGGCTGAAGAAGCGAGTTGTCGCTTCGGAATAAATAGAAATGTGGTCTGAAACAATTGAGCAAATGAAAAAGGCAGTAGGATGGATAAGGAAAAAAGAACGGTAACTTAGTTTGACATCTCTTATATAGGTATCTGATTGTTAGCACAAACTAATAATGTTGTTTTTTGTTCTTTTCGTTGTTTTATTATGGCAGAGAAGAATGTGAACGTGAGAAAAGGATTAAGGTATTTGTTTATCTGCATTTAAATTACTTTTCAAAATATTTAGCTGTACAATATAGAATATTATGGATGTTTTATTATCGTGGAAGGATGTTCTACTTATTGTTTCTAACTAGTTTCTTGGGATATATGGTTGAATTGTTTAGGAGAAAAAGAAGCATGTAGCTGCGGCAGCAAAGGTAATTTCAAGTTTTCTTGATTTGTCTTATTTGTCTAATTGGTGTTGGTGTTTTTAGTTGGGTGTGTTTGTTTAAAGGATTTGTGTGGATTTATACTATTTACATAAATTTCTCCCCAAAAACATCAAATCAAACACCTATTTTTAATTTTTTATATTATACTAAAAATTAAGTTTACATTCAAAGCATCATATTAATACATATTTATATCACATCATATAACTATTCAAATTCAGATTTTTTTTATTCAAATCCCAATTTAAAATCCAAAGCTCCAAACAAACTGAAATGGTGGTTTGATGAGATATAAATAAGTATTGATGTGAGATTTTAATGTAAAATTATTTTTTAATATAATATAGAAAATAAAAAATAAACGTTTGATTTGATTTATTTTTGTAGGAAAAAATTGTGTGAACAGTATAAATTTTTGTAAATCCTTCAAACGCACACAAAACATACATACATACATGCAGACAAGTTACTAGTGGCATATATTATAATATATTTATAAAGAATATATATATTTTTTCTAGGAAGAAGCTATTGCCAATATGAAGTTGATTAACGCAAAGGAAAAAGAAGAAAAGAAGAAAGTAAAGAAGGAAGAGAAGAAGAAGAAACAAGAGGAGGAGGTACTAATTGTACTAGCAGCTCTTTCTTGTACATCTTAATTTGTAGATTTTATTTTATTTTTTTTTCATGTATTGAGTGAGATATGTATGATGGTTAATGTATGTATGTGTGTGTTTTTTGAAGAAAAAATTGACGAGGAGGAAACGAAGGAAGTTGGAGGCAAGAAAAGAGAGAGAGATTAGAATTGGGAATTCCCTTTTAAGGTAACAAGTTTGTTTAATCTTGTTTGTTTGTATCTTCGTCTCATTCCTATTCCCATTAATTATTTTTGTTACTGTTTTGTTATAGCTTTATTTATCTATTTATTTATGTGCATTAATTAGAGCTAGCAATGTGTCAATTCGCGTTGGATTCGTATCAGGTTGAATACTTTGAACGGGTTAAATTACTTAACCCTAACCCAACATGTTTATTACCATGTCAGATTTGTGTTGACCCGTTTATTATCGTTTCGGCTTCGGGTTGACTTGTGTTGACCCGTACATAATTAAGTCAAAATTCTTGATTCAAATTAAATAATTTTTTGTCGTGTTATGTTAATTTTTATTGGTTTGAGGTAAATTGAATTATTTAAAATTGAACTTAGTTTAAATTAATTTATGAGAAGATTATTAAATTATGATTTATTTTACATATATAATAAAAATATTAATCAATATTAATATATTATAATTGGGTTGTCGTGTCTGGTTCGAGTTGAGAGCTTCAACCATAACCCGACTCGTTTATTATCGTGTCGAGTTCGTGTCAACTCTTATACATAATCGGGTTGAAATTTTTGACCAAAATTCAATTATTTCATGTCGAGTTAGTTTTTCCCAGCTCTAACATTAATCCATTGATTCATCGGTTCTCAAATGAGCTGGGCAGGGAGCCAAAGGCATCATATCAGCATATCAAATGAAAGAGGGAGGACTCGCTGCGTGTGCCACATGAATACGTATGTGTATATATATACATATATAAGCGAAAAGGAGGAAGAAATGGATGGTGATGGTGATGGTGATGGTGCAAGAAATTAATTAGAAAGAAAATCACATCTCATAACCACAATATCATCTATAAATGCAATTTTGAAGCTGCTAATGTTAATTAGTTTAGATAGACTTGTTAGATATAATTAATGGTTGGTTGGTTTGTTTCAATTCGTTGTGGTTTATTATTAATATTTGCTTTTGATTCGAGGGCATCATATATTGTTACTATTATTATCGTTGTCCAAGTAGCTAGGTTGTTTGATTCGTGGTATTAGTTGGATATTATTTTGGAGTAATGTGTGTTTGTGTGAAGGAAGGATCATATGGTGAATTTAGCTTTTTCTTGGTCACCATCACTTCTAGGCCAACTACGCCTTAATTTTTGTACGCTTAATTGTTCAAGAAAGATCTACGAAGAAATGCCCAAGTTACAAAATATGTGAAAATATATAAATCTGGTAGAATTTATATGATGCATTTATTATATTGGAAGAAGTTTAAAAAATGCCTTAAGAAATCATCACATCGTAAAATCATCATTATTTGTATGGTTGGTAAAAAAAAAAAAAAAAAAGAAAAAAAGAGCTCAAAATGCAATATTAAATTAAAAAAAGGAATCAAGGAGTTAACTATATGGAATTGATTTCCACCTCCTAGGCGATAAATGTATGGAGTTTCAAAAATACTTTAAGAAATAATGCATTGGCACATTGTAAAATCTATCATTTTTGGTATGAACGGTACTAAGAGGAATAATTTTTATGCAATATTAAATTAAAAAAAATCAAGAAGTTAATAATGTGGAATGCATTTTCACCCAACAATAAATGTATGAATTTTTAAAAATACCTTAAGAAATAATGCACTGCCGCCCACTTTGTAAAATCTTCATTGTGTATGATTAGTAATAAGAAAGAGCAACTTAAAAATGCAATATTAAATTAGAAAATGAATAAAAAAAAGTTAATCACATGGAATGGATTTCTAACCCCACCCGCACCCCCAATTCAATAGAGGTTTGATGGGTCACCGGCAAATTTTATTCCAATGAAAGAAGATACTCCCTCCGTCTAGGATATGGTGTTTTTTTTCCTGTAGACACGAGAACTTAGGTGTGGTATAATTAGTAATTAATTAAAAATGTATTAGTGAAAATAATTATTATTTAATAAAGAGAATTTTAAATTAAAATTAAGATAACTAAATAGTATAATTAAAATTAAAAAAGTTATAAATTAAAATATTTAAAATGAGATTAAAGTGTATAATACTTTTTCAAAAAAGGAAAGTGACAGAATAAATAAAACAAACGAAAATGGAAAAACACGATAAATGGAACGGAAGGAGTATTACTTTAAGAGGATCCAATAATGATTTCATGATTCAACTTATAGTTATACATAAATACATTTTGAAATATATTTTAAATAGATTATGGTGAGGTTTCAATTGTATCACTACAGACATTGCAATTTAGAAATTTAAGGAACATATTCAACAATACAAAAAAATTCAAAATACTCAGTATTAAGTAAAAATAATAATAAGCTGTTAAAAAAAAAATACTTGAAAATGATCACTTTAGACGTAAAGATCTTGGAGCATAATGCAAGAAGAATTGTATTATGCTTTCAAATATGCACCAACATGTGCATAACATGCAAAGTTTCCTTGGATGGTTTTATATAACCAAGATCATATTAACATAAAATTATTCTAGAATCCATAGGTAAATTACCGATTCTAAGTTAATAATATTGACAAGTTACTTGATTCGTGATTGACAAATGCGTTGTTTTATTTAAGAGAGATTGATAAGCTTATCAATATTTATAGTCATATGGTTGCTGAAAATAACATGATTTGTTTCTTTCTAGAGCACGTATTCACCCAAAGTTGAATAGTAACATATACAAGTTTAGAAATAAATTATTCTCATTAATAATTACAAGTGTCAAAGTAAAAATTATTTAAAATAAAAGAAGCGGTACTTAAAAAGTAGAAACTTTTTTCACTAATCTTATCTATTTTAGTATTGCTTATGCTTAATAGCTTTATTGCACCAATCGATTTTACTTATTGGAGATTTTCAACCAAACAAATAATTTCCATGCAACTTTGATAAGCAAAACAACTTCTTTTCCGTTGTTGACTCCAGCGACTAATCACAAAAAACTATGATTCAAGAATAATGCACAAAAAATAAATAGATATGCTAATTCAGCTTCACAATCTCATTTTCACAGAAAAAATCCTTTGATTTAAGAAAAACTAGACTCCTAAAATTTATAATTCGTGTGTTCGTTGTAACAAAGAACATGATAACTAAATATGAAATTTTAGATACATACCAGTACTTAAATGTCTTGTTAAATTCTGTATCTAGAAGCCAATCAACTTCATCAATAATTAAAATTGAAAGTTCATCAAAATTGTTTATATATATTGTATATACATATTTATGTTTATATATATATATATATAGCCCGGTCCATAACCCCATGTATACCGAATTGTTGGTATACAGAATTTTTTGATATTTTCGGTATAATACAGTACAGTAAATCAGTATTTTTGTATTTTCGGTAGGTTTATTCATCCCTACCATGGAGGCAGATTCTAAAACCACTTAAGTTTCAAAAAAACCCCATCCTGGTGGCTCAAAAGAAAAGGAAATAGAAGAGTAAAGAAGGCCAAAGCTAAAATGTGTCTATTGTTTGTAGTTTCTTTACTCGTATCATGTCTCTAACATCAGCAAAAGAGAAATAAAATAATATGCATATGGAGTGAAAATCGTAAATCAAATACAAAAAAGGGGTTTGATATGAAATGCAAAAAAAGAAAGAGTATGAGTCGATCAAGAATGAATACACAGACAGTTTCTTCGGCATCCTTAACAAGGTGAGACTAGGTTAGGTTGATTCAACAATTGTATTAAAAAATAAAATAAAATTACATCACCTTGAAAAACACAAAGAACTTATTGAAAGTCACTTTTTTTTTTTTTTAATGGGATATTGAAAATCACTTTTGTATAGTTTTTAAGTGCCTTTTTGGCTAAAGAGCAACGAAAGAAGCATATAAGACAAGAAAACAAACATTGTTGTAGGAGCTCTGCTAACCAAGCATAAAAAATGCAACAATTTGGTTTGAAGCAAGCTACAAGAGCTTGACATTGGCATGACATGGTAGAAATAATAATCATTTGTTATTTTCTCAACATAATGTTTGCAAAATGACTATTTGAATTTAGTCTTCCACTATAAGTGCTAATGAGATATAAAATAATAAACAAACTAGTAACATAATGTAACAATCCCACGTCAATAATAATTATGCTAGCTAATAATAATGTAACTAACTAAAAGATAAACACTATTTCTCACTAACAATGAACATCATTATATTAAGTGCTAATGAGATATATCATAATAAATAATAACTATGCTAGCTAACAATAATCAAACTCAATAAAAAATAAGCAATGCTTCTGATTAACAATAAACATCATTATATTCAGTGCCAATGTGTTATAACATAATAAACAATAACAATGCTAAGTAACAATAATCAACGTTACTAAAAGATAATCAGTGTTTTTCACTAACAATTAAAATCTAACTTAATAAATATGTCAATTAAGCAATAATTAAGTCATCATGAGATAAACTTTTCTTCTCGCTCAATAAACATTTATTATATTAACTATTAAGTGCTAATGAAATAAAACATAATAGGCTGTTCTTAGAGTGCTGATATTGAAAATATATTAGTACCCTGCTGATTTATTCAAAGCCATCAAATTGTTTTTAATAGATGATCTAACGGTTGTAATTAAAAAAGATTAAATTTATAAATTTAATTTTATTATTTCTTTTGTACGAAATATAATATAAGTAAGTTTCAAATAATGCATTAATTAACAATGTTAGCATTCTTATTTAAATTCCATAATTTGTGGAAGTAAATCTTGTTGTTATTTTATATTTGTTAAGTTATGCTTTTGATTGAATACACATATGCTATATAGATTTCAATGATATGTTTTTCTTATATATATATATATATATATATATATTATATTATATGCTATATAATTTATTCATTAAAAAATACTCCCTCCGTCCCATATACTATGTCCACGTTGCTGTTTCTGTGCGTCCCACATACAATGTCATTTTCTTTTTTGGAAAATGATTACACACTTTAATCTCATTTTAAATTTTTTAATTTTATTTTTATTTTTATTTTTAATTAAAATAATTAGTTATCTTAATCTTAATTTATAATTATTTATATTATAGAATAACTATTTTCACTAATACATTCTTAATTATCTGCTAATTACATCCCTTCTAAAATACCGTGTCTACAGTGTAGCAGACACGGTATCTGAGACGGAGGGAGTATCATTTAAGGAAATTATATATAATTATTAAGCAATGGTTAACTTAGAGGAATAAAATTTGAAATATTTTTGTATTAAATTTAATAAACGAAAAGTTAATGTAAGAGTTAAAGAGAAATAAAATTTGAAATATTTTTGTATTAAATTTAATAAACGAAAAGTTAATGTAAGAGTTAAAGAGAAATAAAATATATATTGAAATTGTTAGCTAGTGCTTTTTATAAAATGAGTTAACTTCATATGTAAAGAAATTAGTTTTTTTTTTTTTTTTGTTAATAATAGGTTTTAAATTGATGTTCTTTCTTAAGATTTTGCTCAAATTTTATTATTTATTTTTAAAAAAATTTTAAAATATAAAATCAAATACGTATATTTATTTTTCATATTATATATAAAAATAATTTTATATTCAAAATATTATATCAACATCTAATTCTATCGTATCATATAACTATTCCAATTTAAAATTCTTACTATTCAAATCTCAAACTAAAAATCCAACCTCCCGAACAAACACACAAGTAGACTTATATTATGTTACCAACAGACTTTTGTTATATTTTTATTATGCTTTCTAATTTATTCATTTTTGTTATTCGTCAATATCAATTTCAACAATAATGTATATAAGTATGCTTTCCCTAGAATAAACATATATATGCTTTTTCCAATGAAAGGAAATGAGAAAATTATGCTATAAATATTTTTATTATTTTAGATATTTTATCATGTATTTAAAACTAAAAGATTTGTGTTAATCAAATTACACCATTCAAAATATACGTAAAATATAATGAATT